AAGAAAAAGAGGGGTAAGAAGAAGAAAAGGGGAGTAAGAAGAAGAAGTGGGAGTAAGAAGAAGAGGGGGTAATAAGAAGAAGAGGGGGGAGTAAGAAGAGGGGGGAGTAAGAAGAAGAAGGGGGTGTAAAAAGAAGAAGGGGGTGTAAAAAGAAGAAGAGGGGGTAAGAAGAAGAAAGGGGAGTAAGAAGGAGGGGAGATAAGAAAAAGAGGGGGTAAGAAGAAGAAGGGGGAGTAAGAAAGATGGGAGTAAGAAGATGGGGGAGTAAGAAAGAGGGGAGTAAGAAGAAGAAGAGGGGAGTAAGAAGAAGAAAGAAAGAGAGTACAAGAAAAAGAAGGGTGAGTATGAATAAATGGGGAAGTATTAAGAAGAAGAAAGGGGAGGAAGAGGGAAGAGAAGAAGAAGGGGGTAAGAAGAAGAAGGGGAGCAATAAGAAGAAGGGGGTTAAAAGAAGAACAGGTGGGGGAGTATTAAGGTGACCAAGGGAAGTATGAAGAACACAGGGAGGAGGGGTAAAAGGCAGAACACAGGGGTGTGAGGAGAACACATAGAGGGAGGAGTAGGAAAGAACGCACAGGAGGTGGGTGAGTGTGAGAAAGGGCAGCTAGGGAGGGGTGGGGAGAGGAGAGACCACTAGGAGTGCAGGGAGAGCTCTACGGGACAGAAGGGACAGCTCTATGGGACAGGGGGCAAGACAGGGAGCTCTTTCACACTACGCGCACACACACACAATGCATCCCTATACATACACAGAAACACACAATGCATCCCTACACACACAGAAACACAACATGCTTCCCTTACACACAGAGAAACACACAATACATCCATTACACACACACACACAATGCAACCCTTACACACAAAGACAATGCATCCTTTGCACACATACACAGAAACAGACAATGCAAACCCGTACACACATATGCAAACACACACACTTCTTTTCTTACATACACACAGAAACACAATGCATCTCTTACACTCAATACACACACATACAGACACACACCTTGCATCCCTTATGCATACAAACACAGATTCACACAATGCATCCCTTACACACAACCAGAAACACATAATACATCCCTTATACACAAATACACACTGCTTCCACTACACACAAACACACTGCATCACCTGCACAAACTGGCAACCCTAATACACTACATACCATAAACACACATATTAGATCCTCTACAATAACACATAACACATCCCCTACAAACTCCACTCCCTGTGAGCGAACTCATGGGTGGGTGGAACTTATGAGTGGGCCTTATGGGCATACTCACCGTCAGGCCCTGGGGCCCAGACCTTGAGCTGTGTAAGGGGCCCCAAAAAAATGGAGCTGCTTCCAATTCTCCCAGAACATTGAATTTTGTGACCACAGTTGCAAACAGCCTCCAGAGATCCTGTTCTACACCAGACCAGTGGAGCCAAACTGCAGCCCATCATTATCCTCATCTGCTTGTAAGTAGGCAATCTAGTATATTATTAGTGACACTAATCTATAATGTACCTCACATTAAAGGGACACTATAGCTTAATGAAGTGGTTCTGGTGTCTATAGCTGGTCCCTGCAGCCTTTTTAATGTAAACACACACTGTGTGCAGCACTGGCGTTAGTTCATATGGGTGGGCATTGTGATGTTACATGGGGGGGCAGCAAATTTTTATTTTGTCTAGGGCGGCAAAAATCCTTGCACCGGCTCTGATCCTGGGCAGGTGCACCAGTCTACTGGTGACCCACAGGAGGGGAGTGCACTGATTGCACTGCACTCTCCTCCTGTCCAGCCCCATCTTTACCGCAGTGCAAGTGCCCTCTGCCCCTAATTTACGGTGGCTCACACTCACAACAAGCAGTGCCTGGAGCCGTGAAGGAGCGGGTATGGCAAAGAGCTACTGATTAGCATAACATCAATATCCGTTATAAAACCAGGAAAAGGTGGGCATGGATGGTGAACTGATTTGGTGGTGCAATGGGCCACTTGACTGGTTTTGCCCCCAGGCCTAAGGCTGCCAGCCCTCCCTGCTTAGGTCCCCCATTGTGATTTGTTGCCCCACCACGGCTCAGGGGTTGGGGCCAGGAAGAGGACATTAGGTCCCCTTTTAGTATTTAGAGGGCCCCCACCCGGCTCAGGGGGTGGGGGCCAAGGGGAGACGCCGGTCCCCAGGTATTTAGGGCCCCACCGCCCGGCTCAGGGGTGCAGGGGCCAGAAACAGAGTTCCCCCTCTATTGTTTTTTTTTAGGGCTCCAGAGGTGGGGCGGGGGCAGTAGGTCCCCATATCATTGAGTAAACTTTGACAACCCCCATTCCCGAGCGGCGGGTGGGGGGGTTGTCAAAGTTTACTCAATTATATGGAATAGGGGGCGGACCGAACATCGCATATGTTCGCCCGCCGTGGCGAACGCTAACATGCGATGTTCGCCGGGAACTATTCGCCAGCGAACTGTTCGGGACATCTCTAAATAGAAGGGGTCCCAGAACAGACCCCTGAGGGACACCACTTGCCACCTCTGTCCAGCTTGAAAATTTACCATTAATGACAACTCTTTGTACTCTGTTTTAAAGCCAATATTCTACCCAAGAACAAGCATTTTCATCTAGACCGATTTCCTTGAGTTTGAACACTAGTCTATTGTGTGGAACTGTATCAAATGCCTTGGCAAAATCCAAATATATCACAACCACTGCAACACCCTAATCTGTACTCAGTGACTTTCAGTATAAAATAAAGATAGCTCAGCCGTGGGATGAAATGAATTCAAACTGGCAGGAAATAGAAGATCTGCCTAGAATGTAGATGTCTAAAGAGAAATTCTTCACCGGTGTTTTCTGTCATTTATCGACTGATTATCAAGGAAAGCGCTGTCTGCAGAACAGGCAGGGAGCGGTGCCTCGCGGACTCCAGGAAAGAAGTCAAAACATTACCAAACTGTTTGATTACTTACACAGGGCACTTCTGGCACCATAACTACTACATGCTGTCGTGCTTATGGTGTTTAGAGTATTCCTTCAATCTAATAGGGGTGGACATGCTAGAAGTATACTCCCCTCAAGTCAAGTCACACTGGGGGCTAAGGATCCCTAAGCCACTATCCCCCAAGTCATCACAATCTAATTATTAAAAATAAAAAAATATTATTCAAATTGCAAAAAATGTGGTGAAAAAAACATAAAAAACCTGATGCGATAAAACCATTCTGGTGATGTTTATCAGGTGACGGACGCACAGTAACTGGAATGGGAGATGATGACATTTATAATTGGTGATTAGCAGGTAAACAGCTATTTACATAATGAATGTTACTTCCCTGACTGAGTGTCCTAGATGTGGCTGAATATAAAGATTGCTCCCCGAGGAGATGTGGAAATCCTGGGATTGTTGGGAAATACTTTTATTTTTGGAACAGATACAGTCAGTGTGTGACCTCCGTCCCTCCCTGTAACACTGCTATAAAGGCCGGGTAGTGACAGACTGCTCACACACAGCGTGAGGACAACATGATTTCTGCCAGCCTGATCGTTCTGGGTCTCAGTCTGTGCTTCCTGGGAGCCAGGGCTACGGATCCCACAAGTGAGTTAACATTGAACCGTCCGATTCTTATTCACAGTCTGTTGGGCATGATTAACATAGGGCTTAGACAGGGACCCCAGAACCGTGAATTCCCCCATTCACCAACCCATGTGATCATACTCCTGTTATACTATTGTTATTAATTAATATTGGTACATGAACACAACTCACAATACATGGGGCCGAGGCAGTAACCCCTGTATAGTAACAGAGAATAGCATGTCGTGTACTGTAAAGTAACAGAGAATAGCGTGTCGTGTCCTGTATAGTAACAGAGAATAGCATGTCCTGTCCTGTATAGTAACAGAGAATAGCGTGTCGTGTCCTGTATAGTAACAGAGAATAGCATGTCGTGTCCTGTAAAGTAACAGAGAATAGCGTGTCGTGTCCTGTATAGTAACAGAGAATAGCGTGTCGTGTCCTGTATAGTAACAGAGAATAGCATGTCGTGTCCTGTATAGTAACAGAGAATAGCGTGTCGTGTCCTGTATAGTAACAGAGAATAGCATGTCGTGTCCTGTATAGTAACAGAGAATAGCATGTCGTGTCCTGTGTAGTAACAGAGAATAGCATGTCGTGTCCTGTATAGTAACAGAGAATAGCATGTCGTGTCCTGTAAAGTAACAGAGAATAGCATGTCGTGTCCTGTATAGTAACAGAGAATAGCGTGTCGTGTCCTGTATAGTAACAGAGAATAGCATGTCGTGTCCTGTATAGTAACAGAGAATAGCGTGTTGTGTCCTGTATAGTAACAGAGAATAGCATGTCGTGTCCAGTAAAATAACAGAGAATAGCATGTCGTGTCCTGTATAGTAACAGAGAATAGCGTGTCATGTCCTGTATAGTAACAGAGAATAGCTTGTCCTGTATAGTAACAGAGAATAGCATGTCATGTCCTGTATAGTAACAGAGAATAGCGTGTCGTGTCCTGTATAGTAACAGGAGGAACAGCATATCCTGTATAGTGCAACAGAGAATAGCATGTCGTGTCCTGTAAAGTAACAGAATAGTGTACCTGTATAGTAACAGAGAATAGTGTGTCGTGTCCTGTATAGTAACAGGGTACAGCGTGTCGTGTCCTGTATAGTAACAGAGAATAGCGTGTCGTGTCCTGTATAGTAACAGAGAATAGCGTGTCGTGTCCTGTATAGTAACAGAGAATAGCATGTCATGTCCTGTATAGTAACAGAGAATAGCGTGTCGTGTCCTGTATAGTAACAGAGAATAGCATGTCCTGCATAGTAACAGAGAATAGCATGTCGTGTCCTGTAAAGTAACAGAGAATAGTGTGTCCTGTATAGTAACAGAGAATAGCGTGTCGTGTCCTGTATAGTAACAGAGAATAGCAAGTCGTGTCCTGTATAGTAACAGAGAATAGCGTGTCGTGTCCTGTATAGTAACAGAGAATAGCGTGTCATGTCCTGTATAGTAACAGAGAATGTCGTGTCGTCTCCTGTATAGTAACAGAGAATAGCATGTCGTGTCCTGTATAGTAACAGAGAATAGCATGTCGTGTCCTGTATAGTAACAGAGAATAGCTTGTCTTGTCCTGTATAGTAACAGAGAATAGCTTGTCCTGTATAGTAACAGAGAATAGCATGTCATGTCCTGTATAGTAACAGAGAATAGCGTGTCGTGTCCTGTATAGTAACAGATAATAGCATGTCCTGTATAGTAACAGAGAATAGCATGTCGTGTCCTGTATAGTAACAGAGAATAGTGTGTCCTGTATAGTAACAGAGAATAGCGTGTCGTGTCCTGTATAGTAACAGAGAATAGCAAGTCGTGTCCTGTATAGTAACAGAGAATAGCGTGTCGTGTCCTGTATAGTAACAGAGAATAGCATGTCGTGTCCTGTATAGTAACAGAGAATAGCGTGTCGTGTCCTGTATAGTAACAGGGTACAGCGTGTCGTGTCCTGTATAGTAACAGAGAATAGTGTGTCCTGTATAGTAACAGAGAATAGCGTGTCGTGTCCTGTATAGTAACAGAGAATAGCGTGTCGTGTTCTGTATAGTAACAGAGAATAGCGTGTCGTGTCCTGTATAGTAACAGAGAATAGCGTGTCGTGTTCTGTATAGTAACAGAGAATAGCGTGTTGTGTCCTGTATAGTAAAAGAGAATAGCGTGTCGTGTCCTGTATAGTAACAGAGATTAGCGTGTCGTGTCCTGTATAGTAACAGAGAATAGCGTGTCGTCCTGTATAGTAACAGGGAATAGCGCACGTATCCCGTATAGTAACAGAGAATAGCTGGTCGTGGTCCTGTATAGTAACAGAATAGCATGTCGCGGTCCCGTATAGTAACAGAATACGTGGTCCTGTATAGTAACAGAGAATAGCGTGTCGTGTCCTGTATAGTAACAGAGAATAGCGTGTCATGTCCTGTATAGTAACAGAGAATAGCTTGTCCTGTATAGTAACAGAGAATAGCGTGTCGTGTCCTGTATAGTAACAGAGATAGCGTGTCGTGTCCTGTATAGTAACAGAGAGTAGTCGTGTCCTGTATAGTAACAGAGAATAGCATGTCGTGTCCTGTATAGTAACAGAGAATAGCGTGTCCGGTATAGTAACAGAGAATAGCGTGTCCTGTATAGTAACAGAGAATAGCGTGTCGTGTCCTGTATAGTAACAGAGAATAGCGTGTCGTGTATAGTAACAGAGAATAGCATGTCGTGTCCTGTATAGTAGCAGAGAATAGCTTGTCTTGTCCTGTATAGCAACAGAATAGCATGTTGTTCCCTGTATAGTAACAGAGAATAGCGTTCGGTTCCATGCGCACTAATGGAAAGTGCTGAACCAGTGGAACCAGGGGGAATAAAATATGGTTCTTTACAGTCGCTGACCTGGCCCATAGTTGGTGGGCATAGTCGGTAAGCAAACATGTATTCCTGACCCTATAGTGTTAACACCACCATCTAGCCTCCATAAATATAGTAAAGTTCTTACTGTATTCAAGCCTGAAGCTGTAGCTCTGCATGCTGTTTGAGTCAGAAAAACAAGCAGTCTGCTGACATCATCATAAGTTGTAGCCTGATCCAATCACAGAGCGTCCCCATAGGATTGGCTGAGACTGTCAAGGAGGCAGATTAGGGGCAGAGCCAGCATGATTCAAACACAGCCCTGGCCAATCAGCATCTCCTCATAGAGATGAATTGAATCAATGAATCTCTATGAGGAAAGTTCAGTGTCTGCATGCAGAGGGAGGAGATACTGAATGTTTGGATGCATTTTAGGCAGCCATGACCCAGGAAGGATCTCTAACAGCCATCTGAGGAGTGGCCAGTGAAGTTATCACTAGGCTGTAATGTAAACACTGCATTTTCTCTGAAAAGACAGTGTTTACAGCAAAAAGCCTGAAGGTAATGATTCTACTCACCAGAACAAATTCAATAAGCTGTAATTGTTCTGGTGACTATAGTGTCCCTTTAAACGAGAAAATGTTAAAAAAAAAGTCATATTTACATGTACCTTGTAACCCTTATAATCACCATAATTATGAAAAGTCATGCAGATAAAAATGCCATTAGCTCAATGGCTAATCCTCTTGTTACTCTACGTTGAATGTTGCTGCTATCCAGAATTCAGACTTTAACCCCTTAAGGACACAACTTCTGGAATAAAAGGGAATCATGATGTGTCATTAAGGGGTTAATATTGGTCTATAACTGGAATAGGAGCTTTGTATATCAGTGAGTGGTAGTCTAGGTAATCGATATCAGAAGAATACCCCCTATAGATGGCTAATAGAGAGTTAGTAAAGACATATGCAAAAATGATATGAATGCTTTCTCCAAATAATCTCTTAATACATAATAGAGAGATTGGTAATCATAGTGTTAGTGATAGAATGGAATGAATGGATCAGCTGGCTGTAACAGAGTTATTCCTATTTTGTAATGATGTTGCAATAGTGTTGCCTTTTAAACACTAGTATTCCTTGAATGGCCCTATGAGTCAACCTTACAGTTTATAACTAAGGTTGCAATATGTTGCCTTTAGTATTAGCGAATCTACCAGGAAAGCATACAGCCGGCATGCATCCAATTGCTGAGTAAAGAGCTATAGATCTGTGCAGGGATCAGAGTATTAGCTCAAGCAGCAAACTCAAAATCTCTATGATGCTGATAATACCCTAGACTTACAAGAGGAAAAAAGACATTTAAAAAAATAAGTGCTATAAGTGCAGAACCATGCTTCGAATGCCGGTTACCCGCACTGTGAAAGTGAAAGTGCCCTGTGAAAAAGCTATTTCTTTTTACCCCTGACGAAGGTGCACACAAGAGTGCACCGAAACGTGCGTCAGGTTTTTTTCACTTTTTCACAGGGCACTTTCACTTTCACATTCTCACAACTCCATATCAGGTAACCTGACCTAGCCTACACCTGAACCCCTGGTGAGCAGGGCCCCAGTCCCCCGTGCCCCCTTGATACTTGGTTCTCATATGAAAGTTTCCACTTAAATGGAAATTCTATATATACAAATAAGTCCCCCCCCCTCCTCCCCAGGGGAGAATTCAAGCCAACGAGGGGGAGAACCACAATCCAAAGTTGAATTGTCCTAAGATACAGCCACAACTATACAGTGTAACAAGTTTTACTCTGGGATATCCAACCAACACAGTAAAAACCTGTGAATTGGAATGAATATTGTGTTATTCACCATAATATTGCCAAATGTTACTTACATCCAATATATTTCTGATACAATTCCTGTATTACCTTGCAGTCGCCGTTTGGCAATGTCACTGTATGTATTTATCGCATATTACCAATAAAAAAAAAAAAACACATATGTATTTTTCAATGTTTCACACAGACATTCCTGTAAAAATGCTTTAATCAATTATTACCCATTATGTCTGAATAATGATATTTTTTGGTTCCTTTCCCTGATGTAGAGAAGCCGGGCAGTTGTCCTTTGGACGTGGATTACCCACGATGTGACTCGGTGAATGTAAACAATCTGAAGAACGATTGTCGGACAGACAGAGACTGCAAGGGGGACAGAAAGTGCTGCTTTTCTGGCTGTCAGAAACAGTGCCTCCTGCCTCTGAAAGGTGTGGAACCTGACACATAAAACGTACTACTGCCATGTTTGGAATGTTCTGAATGTCACTTATTGACACAATAGTCTATAGTGTACATAATGTAACAAAGCACTAAAATGTGACAAGCTGAGAATGCCTATCTAGCACCAATGTTGTCTATAACTAATACAGGCTGAAAAAAGTATCAACTAAAACCCACTTTGAAGTCATTTCTAATTTTGTCACAAATGGAGGTAAATAAATCCTTGACTGTAAAATGACAATCAGGTTTCTCCTTGGATCAACAAGCTATTACCCAACTGTGGCGAACAGAACCTCACCACGGGCTTTTGAAGGAGCCTGCTTGCCAGCCTCCTGCCCCAGTACTATGGCCCCTGCAATAGACCTGACTAAAATACTTTAAAGTAATTGGCAACTGGGATTATATGGTTCGGTTCCCGAACAGCCGCATGAACCAGAGACAACCCGGGAGCTTGTTAAGCCCTATTAACACTTAGTAACGATTCTAACCGCAGTGTTATAATTGTCTGTTTGGGTGACTGCGCATGAACGACCACAAGGTGGCGACCATCTTGTTTGCATGAACGCAGGCAGCGTTGTTTGGTCGTCGCGTTACTAGAACTAAAATCGGACACAGAAACTCTCGAACACCGCTGGACTTTCATCATCGCCTGCATACGGTTCTATACAATTTTAAGTAGGACACTATTCAGTCAAATCGTTCGCTCCACGGTAAGAACATTGACTATGTTCGGTAGTGTAACGGATCGCCTGGCACCCCGACTGGGTACCTCCGTTGAAGGATGCTCCTAGCGCTTCCTGAGGACTCCAAGCACTGCAGCAGACACCACAACCACCGAACTGGAGAAGCATATGAATCCTCTCAAGCATATGAATGCTGTAGACAGTTGAATAGGAACCATACGAATAGGTTTACTCTCCTAGCAGTCAAACTGGAACAGCATACAATAAATCCTTCCCCCAATAATGAGACGACACTTCACTTTGAGGGTTAAAACAGGAACTCCTGTACTGTCACATACAGTCTCTTTTATTCCCAATCCACAAACATAGTACAGCCCACAGGGCGTTACAAAACAACCAATCACATATCAGTTACATCCCACATATTCCCTCCCCTTATCCTGAGAGGAAACTCAATTATACAAACAGTTAAAACATACTTTCTACCCAACTTTCATAACTCCAAAACCATACATCACATTCACATAAAATTACATATTCTCAATCAATCCATTCAGAGGAACAACATATTCAAAAATGGCACAAATCAGACAAGGGGTTCAAAAGTTAGTAAAAAGTCCTTTGTGACTAAATGAAGCATGGCTTTCTGGCCTAAACCAGTTTCAGAGTCTTCTATCCTGGAGATAAGTAATTCAATTATCTCCCAGGACAGACACAAGACTCCATTAAGCACATGGTTGCAAAAGACACAAAACACTTTAAAATACATAAAGTCACATTTACACATAACACACAGACATTTCACATATCCCCAGATAGCTGGGATCTGAGTGCACATTATTAGATGAATGGCACTCAGATCACACAAATAAGCCTTTCTGCAGGGGAAATAAGCGGTTTAACCTGCAGGGCCATAGTCCAAAGGGAGCAGGCGAGCAACCAGGCTTCTCCAGTTCACAGTGGCGAGGTTGGTTTCGCCACAGGTAGTTTGTCAGTTTTTAAACTACCGAACTAGAACGACCGGAAGCCCTGATTCACTGGAACTGTTTTGGGCAGGGAATCATGCGTGCGGTTGGTAATCTATGACTTCCAGGAAATTCCTGAACCCCTCTGAGTGAATTTTGGATATGTTGGTTCCCCAGATTGGGGCTATCAGGGGAGGTAACTTTTGTGGGAGTTTTGTGTGTTTAAAAGTATTTTAGGGGTTTTATAAAAATGTGTGGTTTTTGTGTCTGGAGATAATTGAGTTTAGTTCTTTTCATGATTCAAATATCTCCCAGACACAGGGGCGGAATTGTCTTATTATGTATCAGAGTGTCCTGGACCTGAGAGCCAGTGTATTCGTGTGTATGTTTTTACTGTAGTAGTCTACTCTCAGGTCCAGGGGGGAGTTCCCCTTGCATGGGGACCTGCATAACCCATTGTACAGCGCTACGGAATCTGATGGCGCTATATACATGATAAAATAATAATAATAATAATAATAAGGCCAGTTGTGGCTGCCAATAAATTAAATCCTCTTCACCCTCAACATAGAGCCTCGTCTCATGTGTGGAGGGGACAGCTATATTCACTCTGGGGATTGCTATATCATTGCACTTCCCTGGGATTATGATCACTTGCTCTTTTAAGAGCATATTGGAGGAGAGGTCTACCCACTGGAAGCTGGATCCTGGTCTTGGGTCCAGGGTGGGTGGAAGACAGAGAGACCCTAACCAAGCTGTAATGCTGGAAGTGGGGACTTCAGTGCTGATGGTGTCTGGAGGAGGGCTTGGAGTACTCAGTGAGCACTAAGAGCAGCGATTGGCGGAGGCACCCGGTCGGGGTGCCAGGCAGTCCATCACACCCACATATTAAGTATTGTATCCTTGAATATTCTGCATCCAAACTTTGTTTGAAAATCAGTACAAAGTATGATAAAACAATTTAAACTGAGAATCCCATATATTTATTGTTCTTAATGCATATAAACCTTTCATCTGTTATAGGTGAATTCTCCCCTATTGAAGTCTAAATAGGTGACCTCTTATCATGGAAACATAGAATGTGATGCAGATAAGAGCCACTCGGCCCATTTGGTCTGCCCTGTCTATAGTCCTATTAATGTACAGGTTATAAGAGACCTGTTTGTAATGGTTTAATTTATATTTATATAATATTATCATATCTCCTCTGCTCTATTTTTGTGTGCGTAAAATTCATACAGCAGTTTCAAGACATTATTATACAACATGGCTGAAGCGCAGTAGTCACAAGTAGTGTAGGTATAGGTAAGTTCAAGTCTTTTAGCCTTTCTTCATAACTAAAATGATTTATTTTGTAGCCCATCTGAACACTCTTTGTAGTTCCATAACATTCTTCTTTACATCAGGTGCCCAAAAGTGTACCATATAGTTAAGGAGGGGTTTTCTCATTGATTTACATAGACATAGAATTATTCCATCTTTTTATACTTGACAATACCTTACTGGCCTTAACAACTGCTGCCTGACATTGTGCCTTGTCTATTGTTACTCTTAAGTCCATTTCATCTATTCTTTTCCCTAACTCAGTTTCATATAGGGTATAAGTCACTTGTGTATTCCACATCAGAAATGCACTAATTTATGTTTATCTTCATTAAATCTCATCTGCCCCCTGGCTGCCCATGACACTAATATGTCTAAATCCTTTTGCAGTAATGTTATATCCCGCTCACACTTTATTATCATACCAAGACTTTCATAATCTACAAACACTGACACAAGATCCTTTATAAACAAATTAAAGAGTAATAGACCCAGGATAAAACCCTGAGACAATCCATTCCACTCCATGAATGTGATCATTTTCCTTTTACAGCTACTCTCTGTACTGTATCTAAGCAAGTGTTCTAACCAATCACACAAGTTTCCATATAAACCAACTGCTTTTAATTTATACAGTAACCTTTTGTGTGGAACTGTATGAAATGTCTTAGCAAAATCCAAATAGATCACATCCATTAGAACATCACAATCTATATTTCTACTAAATTCTTCATAGAACACAATTTAGTTAGTTTGGCATGACCTGTTTTTCATAAAACCATATTGATCCCTGCTAATGGTATTACTTTTCAAAATGAATTCTTGAATATTATCCCTTAACAGACCTTCAAATTATTTCACAATCACTTATGTCAAGTTAACAAGTTTGTAGTTTCCGGGTTGAGCTTTTGAAACATTTTTAAATATAGGCACCACATCTGCTTTTTTTTCCAATCCTCTGATTCTATTCCTGAAAGAACAGACTCCTGAAATATTAAAAACAGTGGTCTTAATATTTCTACACTAAGCTCCCTAGGTACTCATGGGTGAATGCCATCTAGCCCTGGGGCTTTGTTTACATGAATTTATTTAATTGTTGCAACACTCTGTCCAATGTTACGTCTGTGGTTAGGAAATTATTTGAAGGACTTCTAAGAGATAATACTAAGGAATTACGTTTGTATGAATGATTAGGTAAGTGGAATTCATTTCATGGTCCGAATTCAGCAATTGTAAACTAAACAATAAGGATGTGCCTGGGCAAAAAATTAGGTTTGGTTCGGCACTTCCGAAATTCGAGACTTCAGTAATTCGTGATTTCGGTTCAGTTCGGCACTTTCAAAATTCAGGACTTTGGCAATTTGGGGATTCTGCAATGCGGCACTTCGGGACTTTGTCAATTCTCTAACCCTACCCATAACCCTATTCCTAGTGCTAATCCTAACCCTACCCCTAACTCTAACCCTGACCCTTCCCCTAACCCTACTAGGGTTAGGGTTAGGGTTAGGACTAGGGTTTAGGGTTCATTCCCTTAATTTTCCCTCCCTCTCCTGTTTTGGCACTTTTCAGAAATTTGAAGCACTTCAGCATTTCCGAACTTCGGCAATTCGGTTCAGCACTTCCCACTTCCGAATTTCGGCAATTTAGCAATTCGGACAATCGGAAGCATCCAAATGTCTGAATTGCTGAAATTTGGCCGAATTGCCGAATTGCACATGTCTACTAAACAAATTTCCAAACTGAGAATTAACTAATCCAAACTGAAACTAAATGTTTCTGATCCATTGGTTTTGAAAATGATACCAAATTAGGGAGTTATACCAAGCCGCAGAAAGATCAATATTAAGGAACTGGCTTGTAATTTAGATTTTTAAGCTGTTTAGTAGATCGATCGCTAATTCGGTATCCATAAATATCCCACAGAAGAAAAGCAAATCAGAGACTTATCTACTAAAGTGACAGATTACATTTTGGAAAAAAAGCTATTTTTAAGGTTTGATCTTTCAGCTGTTTAGTAGATAGCTCCCTAATTTGGTATCCTTAAATAGACCATGTAATCACACATAAGGATACTAAATTAAGGTGTTA